GGGAAAGAGAGAGGGAGCGAGACAGGGAAAAAGAGCGGGAGCGGGAGAGAGAAGAAAGGGAGCGGGAGAGAGAGCGGGAGAGGGAGAGAGAGCGAGAGCGAGAAAGAGCAAGAGAAAGGGAGAAAGAGCGAGAACGCCAGAGGGAGTGGGAAGACAAAGACAAAGGACGAGAGGACCGCAGAGAAAAGCGGGAAGATATCCGAGAAGACAGGAATCCAAGAGATGGGCACGAGGAGAGAAAATCAAAGTAAGTGATTGTGAGCCAGTTTTTTACATGTCAGTGAGGAATTCAGAAAGTTCCATTTAATGCTTCTTGGGGGCCCCTAATATCCTCTTAATTCTTTTTCCTCTCCACATTTTCCTGTATTTTAGTTTTATTATATGTATTTGGTTCAACATCTTTTGAATTGTCTAGGAAAAACAGTTTTCTCATTCTACTATTTCTGTATCCAAGGGATATAGTTAATAATTCTTGTTTACTGTTTGATTACAGCCATTTTAAAAAAACTAATTAAGTTATTTATTTTTGGCTGGCTTGGGTCTTTGTTGCTGTGCACGGGTTTTCTCTAGTTGCAGTGCATGGGGGCTACTCTTAGTTGTGGTGCGCAGGCTTCTCATTGCAGTGGCTTCTCTTATTGCAGCTCACGGGCTCTAGGCGCGTGGGCTTCAGTAGTTGTGGCCCACGGGCTTAGCTGCTCCGCGGCATGTGGGATCTTCCCAGACCAGGGCTCGAACCTGTGTCCCCTGCATTGGCGGGCAGATTCTTAACCACTGTGCCACCAGAGAAGCCCAATTACAGCCATTTTTGATGGTACGTTGGTTTATTTGACTGCTACAGACTTGTTTTTTAACAGGAATCCAACCTAAAAGTGGTAGCATCAGTGGGTTTATGTCCCATCATATCCACTTTATAACTAGTTAATGGAGTTGGCTTGTCACCAAGACATAATGCTTGTGCTATTCCTGATAATCCTTTATGAGTTCTATGTACGTATAAGTCTAGAGTCACTACCCCCAGCCTGCAGAAGCATTTACAGTGTCTTAGAACTGAGGAAATTCTGGAACCACTGCATGGCTAGAAGGAGATGAGAGATAGAGACGTATCCTCTCTTGGGTTGTGGAGTTATAGTAGATTATTGGAATAAAAAGATGTGTTCTTATTATCTTATATATCTGAGGGCATCTTCTCTCTTCTCCTTTCTTTTCTCTCTCTTTTTTTTCTTTTTTTTTTAATATCAATAAGAATTTATTTGCTCTGGTATCTGGGAAGTCCAGGGTTAGTTTTTGTTTTGATGTGACTATATCCAGATTCTCAAACAAACACAGAGTGGTGTATCTCCACTGTTCTTTTTCTGTATTAGTTTTAGACTCAGAAGGCTTTTACCGAAATGATGGCTAGGATGACCCCAGGGTTATACCTATCAGCTCAGTAGCCCTCTCTGTGCTGGGACTCTCATCAGTAGAGGAGTTAGATAAGAGAGCTAAGCCAATCACTATAGCCATGAGAAATCTGGACTCTGATTGGTCAATTTTGAGGTTTTATAGACATAAAACCAAACATATCAAAATTAAGTGGTTTTTTTTTTTCAAATACCAACTAGAATAGAGGGTATATTTAAGTTTGTTAAGACAAACTGGAAATAATTTATATATCTTCAATTTCTTTGCCTCTACCTCTACCTTATTTGCCTCATGGTGAATACACTCTCTGCTTTAGGCTTTTTTCATCATTGCTATTATGGATTTTGGTTATAAACAAACAACGTAGCACAGAAATGGAGGCTTCTTCCATTAGGTCTTGCATTCCCTTCAGTCTGCAGCCAAGGTTTTCTGTAGTTCACTCTCTCGCTTCCCTCTCCCCACATTAAAAAAAAAAAAAAAAAAAAAAAACTCACATTAACATAAAATTGATAATACCTTTCACACATGCAGGCACACAGTACATTATTATTTCTCTTCTCTCCTCTGACCTCTTTAACTCTCTATCTTCTAAGATTAAAATTCTGAAATCTTTGCTATTTATTTATTATTATTTAATCCTATGCTTTGATTATATTTTACATGCTTCTGATCTCAGCTTACAGTAGCCAAAATTTCTTCTAGTTTTTCGTGGCTAGACATTCCAAGCATTGACAAGGGCCCAGAAATTTAGGAGTCAACAGCTCTATAAAATAACTAGTTATATGAGGTTAACATCTTGATGTTTTCATCAATTATATTGTCATCTCAGTAGTTGAATTTATCCAGCACTTTTGTTTTTAACCATGGTTATGAGGAAGGTTTGTTGAATTGCTGTAGTATTTATTTTACTCTAATTTTGTTTCTGTAGATACTTCCTTGAAATTAAATTTCGTTTTTTTGCATGTTTTATATTTTCTTATGTTATCAATTATCTCTTGCTGTGTATCAGACCACATGAGAAGTTAGAAGTTTAAAACAACCACCATTTATTTGGTCATGATTCTGTGGGTTAGCAATTTTGTTTCAGCTCAGCAGTGGCTCTTCTCCTGGTCTCACTTGGGATCACTCATGTTTCTCCAGTCAGTCTGGCAGTTCAGCTGGGTCTGAATGACCCAACATGGCCTCACTCACATGTCTGGCAGTTGGTGCTGGCTGTTGCTTAGGGCATCTTATTTTCTCTTCCATATGACCTCTCATCCTCCAGTAGTCTAAACTCTATTTTTGCATAATATGGTAGAAACATACCAAGAAGGCAAAAGCAGAAGCCGCAAGGCCTCTTGAGTCCTAAATGTCCAAACTTAAACTGTCATTTTCACCACATCTTCCTGTCATAGTAAGTCACTGGGCCAGCCCAGATTCAAAGAATGGGGACAGAGACTGCCTAATGATGGCAGGAGCTTTTGATAAGGAATTACACAAGCTTGGGCCTGCGAGTTGTCATACTACATCTGGGGTCTCCTTTTCCACCTGGTACTCATCTATATGAACGAGCTGTCAAGGAGATGATGTGCTCATGTGCTGCAGTGTTTCTCAACTTTTAGCCATAGTATTTACAAACATTGTTAGCTTAAAAAAAAAAGTGGTCAAAATTTAACAAAAATATAGGAAAACACTAGAACAACTTAAGTATCCAGAGATATAAATCACTAGTCATTTAAAGTTTAACTGAAGAACAAGAAATATAGTGAACATATGAATTATTTTATTAATTTGTCACCAAGCAGATGATTTAGTTCTAAGAGATGAGAAGAAACCGATTTTTACAGTGTACCCACAACATGACCGGCACTGGGTTTATGACATAACTAACTTATTCCTCATTGCAATTTTATGAGATGGACCCCCATTTTTTCAGCTATTTTCAGATGAGAAAGCTAAGAATGACTTCAGGGAATTTACCTAAGGTTGCATAATAAGTAACATGACTAGAAGTTGCACTCAAGTCTTTTTTGACTCCAAAACCAATATTAGATTTTCTCATTTGGCTTCCCAACATAAGGTATTTCTATACCATAAAAAGGTAAAACTAATGAATAAGTTTCAGTAGAGGGTACATTGATTCCTCTGCTATATGTTACCACTTCGTAGTAGTTAAATCTGGTGAATTTCAGTGAGTTATTCTACATCTACATGAAAAAAAGAAGAGGTGGTGCCATGTATTTTAAGTCCACAGTTGTAAGTCTTAGCAAATGAAGAATTTTATTAAAGATGCTGAATACCCTTTGTATGATATAGATAGCTCTGAGAGTATTGGGTTTGTTTTTTTTTTTTTTTGGTTTTAATTGTGTTCTCTTTATTTTTTGCCAGTGTTACCTTTATTTATTTTTAATTTTTATTAGAGTATAGTTGATTTACAATGTTCTGTTAGTTTCAGGTGTACAGCAAAGTGAGTCAGTTATACATAATCCACTCTTTTTTTTTTTAAGATTCTTTTCCCATATAGGTCATTACAGAGTACTGAGTAGAGTTCCCTGTGCTATACAGCAGACTCTTATTAGTTGTCTATAGTAGTGTGTATATCTCAATCCCAATCTCCCAATTTATCCCTCCCCACCCTTATCCCCTGGTAACCATAAGTTTGTTTTCTACAAACTCCCGTTTTGTGAATAAGTTCATTTGAGTGTTATCTTCACTTAGATTGCTAATTGTGATGGGACATTTAAATTTCTGGATGAAGCAGGAATACACTATTTTTTGAGACCTGAAATTCATAATTTATTGATTACTGGATATTCATTCATTTATATAATAGAAAATTACCATAGAATTTCCATACTACCATTTTCTCATTCTATTTTTTTTCTGTTTCTTTCTTGCCATACTCTGTCACTCTTTTTTTTTTTTTTTTTTTTTTTTTTT